GGGGGGAGGGGGAACGAAGGAGGGGGAGGGGGAGGGGGAGAAGAAAAAAGAATCAAGTTTTTCATTCTTCCTGCAACATAGCTTTCCAATGTGCTTGACTACTGAACCTTCATAATTTAGTTGTAGCATCCCCTCCTGAGAAGCTCCACTGAACCTCTCTCATCCTACACTGGCCTTCTGTACCTATTCAGTAGACTTCACAGTATAGTATCAGTAATGTAGATTACCCTTTTAATCTCCTCTAGCACACTGAGCATCCCTCACCATATCTTTTTCAAGTTCTTTCAAATAAATGGAAGCGTTTAACTCTTATACCTTGTTTCCTTTGAATCGCAACTCACACTGACTCATAATTTTTAGGAAATATTCTACAAGAGTTTTACTATGATCTAATTGATTCTTCTGCCCCAAGGAGATCATAATAATTACTGTACTTAACATATCATGATAGTTCTTTCTGGTCTCTCATACTAGAATATACACTTATGCAAGGCTAGAAATATCATTCATAATGACTCCAGACACAATTGTATGTTCCTACAAACTTGTGGCTAAGTGTTAAAAGTTTAAAGAAAAAAAAATTGATCAAGAAAAAGTAGTTACTACAGCACAAAAATCAGAATATGAAAAGGAAGTACTGCCAATTATCCTAAAGCCTTAATATAGCAGACACTGCAGCTGAGCTCTCAACAGCCTTCTACACTTACCTGAGTCGTGTTGAGTACTCTCCTCCTTCTGTGGCTACCCAAGCAACATCAGCAAAAGACACCACTGCATCCTCTCTTGGATGACTAGAATTCCACTCTGTCGTATGGCTAGTGAGCTGTAAATTACAAATAGGAAAGTCCCTCATTTGACACCAAAACATTTTTACTTACCTAGAAATCAAGCCAGCTCTGGTGTTTTCTACCAACTCCACTGAAGGCCTTCATAAAAGAAACCACTTGTTATATCCTGTTACTAATAGTACAGGACAACACCCGAACTACAAATGAACTTTTTATTTTATGTTAATCTTTTTCTCCTTTTTTTGAGACAGGATCTCACTATGTAATACAGACTGGCCTTTCCTAGAACTCATGGCAATCCTTCTGCCTCAGCCTCCTAAGTGCTTTGGGATTACAGTCATGTACCACCATGCACAGCATAAAAATTTTAAACTCCCTAAATCTCTCAATTTTCTTTTTTTTTTTTTTAAAGAACTTTATTTATTTGTGTGTGTGTGTGTGTGTGTGTGTGTGTGTGTGTCCAATTCAGCCCACCGGGGGGCGGGGCTGGCTGGCATGTGGTGCTGGGGGATTGAACTGCGATCCCTGTGCTTTGCTAAGCTTGTTCTAAGTAGGTGCTTTAGACCACTGAGCCATCTCACCAGCCAAAAAAATCTCTCAATTTTCAACAGTATTAAAGAATTTAAAAAAGAACAGTAGAGCAGAATTTAGTAACCTAAAACACATGGAGGAAGGAACCAGTATTTTGAAATAAAACAAGAAGAAAGTATACAAGGCTGACATGGTGACACACACCTGTAGTTCTATAATCTGGGAGACTTACGTAGGAAGACCACTCTGAGTTCAAGGCAAACCTGAACTACATAGGGAAACCCTGACTCAAACAATACAAAACCTATAGCTTTGGGGAAGGATAAGCAGACATGAAAATATGTTATAACAGGAGTAGAGATTTAAGAGTTCTAACCCCTGGCCCCCCAAAAAATCTAAAACAAAAACACTTAAAATTAGATTAAGATGAAAAGATTTGAAAATACTAATGTTTTGCATGTAATGAAAGTAATCTGTAATCTGTAGTCTGATGAGAAAAAAATAAATTTAAATAAATAAGAAAGAGCCAGGGAGATAGCTCAGTGGTCTAAGCACCTGCCTGGTAAGAGCATACCCAGTACCATATGCCATGCTCACCATGGAAACCAGGCATGGTGGTGCATGTGTGTAATCCCAGCACTGGGGAGGCTGAGACAGGAAGATCACTATGAGTCTGAGCTGTATAGCAAGACCCTGTACCAAATAAATAAAAATTAAATAAATAAGCAAGCAAACAGCTGGCTTTTGTATTACATGCTTGTAGTCTAGCACTGTGAGACCAAGACAAGAGTATGTCCACAAGTTCCAAGCAGTGTGGGCTACACAGTAAATGCAAACCCAGTCTAAGCTACACAGAGAAACCCTATCTCAAAACAAATTATACACAAAGCACGAAAGAAAGGCTTTTGTGCTTTTTCCTCTGTATTTATGTACTTCAGAAATTCACCCAAACAGATATTTAGCAAACAATTAATTTATACAACTTATGTAACATAACAAGAGTGCCATATTCAAGGCGTTCTTAGCCATTCCTGAAAACAGAACAGTACCCTGATAATGCTATAATACTTTTTTTTTTTTTTTTTTTTTTTTTTGGCAGAACCGGGGATTGAACTCAAACCCTTGTGCTTGCCAGGGAAGCGCTTATTCCACTGAGCCATCTCCCCGGCCCTATAATACTCTTTTAAAAAACAAAGATTCTTTTAAGTGGTGTAAGTGCAGATCCTTAGCAGGAAAGTCCCTTTACCCCACTGAAACTCCTAGGTGAGATGGTATTTAATCAGCCATCTTGCACATGTGAAAGAAGTTGTAATAGTAAAATCTGGGGCTGAGAATGTGGCTCAATGGCTGAGTGCTTATACTTGAGGACCCTGGCACTATAACACACACACACACACAGACACACACACATACACACAAGATTAAAATCCAAATGGTGTCTTTCTAAGGTTTCTAAGGTGCTGGCTCATAATCATTCTGATTAACTACATTTAGAAAAGAAAACTGTCTTAGAACAGTTACTATCCGATACAAATTATCTACAAAACAAAGTCCAATTTTTACTGTATTTCCCATGGAAACAAAAATTGCTGGTTTCTTCTTAAACATTTACAAAAGGAACCAATGTAGAATTTTCCCAGTACACACTCAAGCTGTGTGTACTGGCAAATGCCTATAATCCCAGCAGTCTGAAAGGCTGAAGTAGGAGGATCACAAGTTTGAGCCCAGCCTTTAGTGACTCAGTAAGTTCCCCTCTCAAAATAAAAAATAAAAAGAGATGGGGATGTAGCTTAGTACAGAGGCCCTAGTCCAATCCCCAGTACCACACACAAAAAAAGTCAAAGATGTTACCTAATTTTCAAGATCTCTTACATACTAATGAAGGATCAAACATGTTTCTCAATTTTACATCTATACCCTACACAGTATCTATGAATGTTGCTTTTTGCATAAACTTAAAAAAAAAAAACCTCCAGCTACTAGTTTACAATCTTATACAGGCATTAATATACTTAGTATATACTGAACATGTGCTCAATGAGATGAAAAAAGTAATGATACATAATGTCAAGATCCATCTGTACCATTCCTAGCTGACACCCTCCTCCAACAAACCAGTAGTTTCGTCATTTAAGTCAAATTCATACAAAAAACAAAACTGACAAAAACAGTTTTTTAAGGCCATTCAGGTTGTTTGCTAAGAATATTCAGAGAGTAATGGAAGCATGAAATGGAAGGCACAATTTTCAGATCAGCCCATTCACCAAAGTCCAAGCCAAGGTGGCAGCAGTGACAAGGGGTGTGAAAATGACAAGCTCATGGAGTGTGATTTAGACCCCACCCCAACACACAAGGATGACTGACACAAGAACTACTTACTGCTAGCTCCCAGCAAGTTCCTGTCCTATGACTAAAGCTACAGTAAGTACAAAAGAAAAAGAAACTAAAGACACAGAAAACTTAGTGTGGCATTGTATTTTTACTGGTTTTCCAAACTTTAACACTGGAAAAAAAAAAAATTACCTAAAATTTTATATTTTACAATTGTTACTATAGCAAGATTTACTTAGTTCATAAACAGTGTGATTAATGTAAAACTACTATGGAAACAGATTCATTTAATAAAATGCTTAGAATTAAAAATATATCCCTCTGTCGACTGAGATATTGGTTTCCAGGACATTCAATCTTCCCACCCATACCAAAATCATTACATAATGCTAAGTCTCTTATAAATGATAAGTACCATTTGCATATAAACCACACATATCCTCCCACATACTTTAAATCACCTCAGATTACTCACATAAAAATGTTACATAAATAATTATTACACTCTATTAGGAAACACTGACAAAAAATGTGCATGCTCAAGAAAAAAGCAATTTTTGAAGGTTTTTTTTTTCTTTTTTTCTTTTCAGAACCGGGGATTGAACTCAGGCCCTTGTGCTTGCCAGGGAAGCACTTATTCCACTGAGCCATCTCCCCAGCCCCCAAGATTTTTTTTTTTTTTTGGCTCTGAATGCCTTCAGGGCAGGTTTGACTGGCTTGAATTGTGGGGATCAAACCACAGCAACCTGAGCCTGACTGCTTTGTGGAAGCAGCCACTTAAAGAACTGAGCTAAGGGGCAGGCCCCCTTTGAAGTATTTTTGAACTTCATGTGATTAATATAGAAACTGGTTACAAAGGGCCAACTGTACAAAAGTTTAAATACTTAGAGCAAAAATATTAGAGAGCTTTTTCCTCATGTGACTTTTCACAAAATAAATACACTGCTACTATGAACTAAGATTCTCTGCCTAAAAGATACAAACTCAGTGCACTTAACTACCCTGTTTATATCCAAAACAAAACATGTATTCTTAAAAGCAACATAATAAAAATCTCCAGCTTTTATTTGCATAGAATTTATTTATTACTCTTTTTCTACAAATTCTTACATCTGAAAAAAAGATTGAAAGAAGAATTTCTAGGGGCTGCGGAGATGGCTCAGTAGAATAAGCGCTTGCCTGACATGTGCAAAGTCCTGAGTTCAGTCCCCGGTTCTGCCAAAAAAAAGAATTTCTACATTTTAACATAGTGACACCAACTGGCCAGGTGATACACATGCATAAAGAAAACCATTCTGGAAGCCAGAACACTCAGTCAAATATTGCTCAAACTTGGACACTACAACGTTCAGTGAAATATTATAGCTCAGACTCATGCATTAGAACTCTCAAGTAAATACTATAGCTCAGACTTGGGCACTAATGTTTGTGGACAATGTGATCATTCTTTTGAAAATGTATTTGGCTGGGGAGATGGCTCAGTGGAATAAGCGCTTCCCTGGCAAGCGCAAGGGCCTGAGTTCAATCCTCGGTTCTGCCAAAAAATAAATAAATAAAAATTATAAGAAATAAAAAATTTTTAAAAAAGACTTTTTGTGTTTAAAAAAAAGAAAATTATTTGGGAGCAAAAGGAGGGCAAGGAGACATAAAAAGAACTAAGATTATTATGTACATGCTTCAGCTCCCCCAAAATGAATATAATCATGTAATACAAACATGTAATAAAAATTAATTTTAGAAAATTATTTTTAATTTATTTGGCACTGGGGATGTAGCTCAGCGGCAGAGATAACACTTGCCTACCAAGCTCAAGGTCCTGGATTTAATCCCCAGCACTGAAAAAAAAGGTAAATAGTTTTAATCTTTTAAAACTGACTAAATAAAAACTACATATTTTATTATGTAGAATATTTGTTTTAAAATACATGTGTATTGTGGAATGAACTATTCAAAAAATGTATAACCTCACATTTTCCACGAGAACACTTGAAATCTCTCGACAATTTTCAAAATACAATACATTGTAACCTATAGTCATGATGTCTCATAGTAGATCTGTCTGTGATTACTGTTTTTAGTTAAGTATTTACTAGAAGTTTCTATACCTGCAGTGGAACAGTGGTGAGAAAGAAGGAAAAAAAGGGATAAATAAAAAGAGGAAGGAAAATAGGTATCTCTGAAAGTAAGTTTGGTGGGCATCAGTTATCTCCAGGGACAAACACAGCCTGAAGAGTCAATTACCAAGGATGAATAAAATGTCCATAAACATTTGTTAGTTACCAACTCAATCTTCAAGCCAATATTCCAAAATTTATGAAACACAACACTTGAATTGTTAGTTAACACCAAGCTGAAACCAAGAAATGAAAATCACATATAGTATGATATCACACAATAGAATATTCCAAATCATGAAAGTGTACCTGAGGAAAGAGGATTAAATCTAACAGTTACTGAAATATTTAGGAATTTATGTTTAGAAGACTCAGACATCAGAGATCACTGGATCATACTAGTCTACCATCTGATTAGTTCCTGAAAGAATTCTCTCAGTTTGCAATACTTTCTTCCTGCTTTGGGACCTCTGCATCAGCTATCCTTTCTATCCACAATACTCCCCCAATCCCATTCCTTTGTAATTCGATAGAGCTCACTTGCTCTAATCCTTTTTTTGTTTGTTTTGTTTTGGCAGACCTGGGATTGAACTCAGGCCCTTGCATTTGCCAGGGAAGCGCTTATTCTGCTGAGCCATTTCCCCTGCCCCTCACTTGCTCTAATCTTTAACTGCCATTTCCCCTGAGCCTTCCTTGCTGTTACTTCCCTTCCCTGTCCCTTGCCTACATTTACTTTTTATTTTACTGTTTATTACAAGTTAGGACTATCTATTAGGCAATTTAGTTGTTTAATATCTCTTCAACCAAGTCATATCATATCAAATCATAAGAACATATTATTCAAATCATAACAGCAGATCTACATGCTTGTTTTATTTAGTGCTGAATACCAGTATGTAGTTTAAAAAGGTACAGATTTCAAGCTTACTTATGAAATAAAAATGAGCTGTAAAAAGTGAACATTTTACTTCCAGATTTTATCATGGTGTATGAACTCTAGTGAGAATTTCATCATTACTTTGTCTTTTCTCCACCAATTCCAACAGCCACTCCTCACATCCAAGAAAACAGTCTGAGGTGGACCATAGGTAGCACTCACACCCAGGGCAGGACAGTATTAATCCCACCATCACACGGCATCACACACCCTAGATCCAGCCACCTCCAAAAAGCATGAGGCATAGACATCTATATATAAGCCATAAGACTAGGTGTCTCTAATAAGCTTTTTATATTGAATTTTTTTAGTGCAACATATCTACTATGTTAGATTTAACTAGATTTGTTGATCTGTGTTCTCATTTGTGACCTTATGAATATGCAGACATCCACTCTGTAGAAACAGGGAGTTGAATTAGAAAACCAAATAAGAAACTTGGCTCTATAGCTCTAAGGTGGCAGTAACAAAAAAATAAAAAAATAAAAATCATCACAATTAACAGCACTTTTATTGAGCACTCACTAATCACCAGTTATTATACTCAGGCCTTTCACATTATTCTCATTTAACACACACAAAGTAACATTCCTGTTTGGCCTAATGTTTATACACAAGTCTGATTTTACACAAAATATATGGGTCAGCTAGCACCATGAAAACTGCAGTCTAAAACAGAAAAAATATACTGGAGTTTAAGATCTCAGAAGTAAAACTAACTGTAACAGACTTAAGCTGTTACTGATAATCTGAGTACTAGGAAAATAATGTAAGTGGATGTTATGGTTTGGGTCTACATATACCCCCAACGCCTCATGCAGTCCTGGGGCACAGAGGATCTTTTCAGAGGTGACTGAATCTAGAGTGTGTGATGCTGGGATTACAGGTGTGTGATCAGTTCACTGATTGGTTTGGCACTGTCCTAATCCCAGCAACCCAGATAACAGTAGAAAAGGGGTAGTAAGACAATATTAAACTTGCTTGTTGCTTTTGCTGTCTTCCACCACCATGAAGGGTTGCCTCTCTGCCGTGTACCACCACCACCCTGCCTTGGAGCCCGTCAATCATGGACTTTGAATTATCAGCTAAATTAAGCCCTTCCTCCTATAGCTTTGGGCAATGGGTATTTTGTCTCAGCAAGAAAAAAAGTAGCATTTTGGCCAGCTGACTGTCAAGGAAGATTTGAATCACAACAGAAATTACTAGAAATCTCCAAATTCTTTTGTATGTCTCCAGCTATATGAACACAAGTTCTCCAGCAAGTAGAAGTTTAAATAGATAAAATACATAAAACAAAAATTTTGTTAGTTCTAGGGATCAAACCCAGAGTCTCATTCATGTTACATAAACTTTCTACCACTAAGCTATACCCAATGCAACAAGAACAAAATTTTAATGCGACTAAGCAGTCAGAAAATGTTAATAAGCATTAGTTAATACCACAGTCATCTGAAGAAAATTGGCAAGTAAACAGTAATCTATGTTTCAATGAATTTAATTCTGAGAAACTACTTGAGAGACCTACTACCATACATTTCATTTTGATCATTAAAAAGCCTGGAATTTGATTAAAAAATTACTTCTTGGAAAGCTCCAATCTGTCAATTTTTTTTTTTTTTTTTTTTTTTTCGGAACCAGGGACTGAACTCAGGTCCTTGTGCTTGCCAGGGAAGCGCTTATTCCACTGAGCCATCTCCCTGGCTCCCAATCTGTCAATTTTTATACTGACTCACAAAGATTTAGCCAGCCAATCTGCAAGCAGGATTATTAAAAAAAGCAATGAACAACGCTGCTAATCTCAAAAAAAGAAAAGCAAATTTTAACCCCTTCTTTAGAAAGAAATCTTCACCTTCATCTACCACGAGTGATTGAGTATGATGTTCTACCAAATAAGCACACACAGCACACATGAGCTTCTAAATAATAAGTTAAATGTTATACATCTTCCACATCTCTGAGAGCTAAGCTATTAAAGCTGGTAAAGACCGCTGTTGAACTTTACATTATTAAATGGTGAACTGAAATATGTTGTCCTATTATTGTCATAGAGAATTAGTAAAAAAAAAAAAAAAAAAAAAATTCCTTACAATGTCTAACTATAGTAAGGAACAACAGCACAAAAAAGAAAATAGTAATATCTCCAAACAAAGAGTACAGCTTCTCCTGTCTTGGTACTAAAAGAGAATGCTAAGAGTTGAGCGTTCAGAAGTACTCTAATCCAGTGCTTGACTCTCACTTCATTCAGAGAACTGTAATTACTTTTTATCTTGACACCAACATTGTATGGCAATGGATCTTACATTTAATGCTTTGTTTGAAACCAGTGATGGAGAAAACTTACATAGCAACCACAGAGACATCTAAAAACAAACCAGAGGGACAAAGCTGTCCAAGGAGAAAAGTGTAATATTAAAAAAAAAAAGTGAGACCTTAAGCACCCAAAGCCCTGTTTGGGGTCATCTGAGAATTAACAATGGCTTAGTTTATCATATGCTTCTAAATCTTCACATAAGTATTTTCAAGGATAAATGTCTTAAAGAGTTTAAATAATCACAGAGGAACTAAAATTAGACTTGACTTCATTTGTTACTCATCTTCTTTTACTGGTAAAGGCATCAATATGGACAAAGGTTCAAAATCAGCAAAGTATTTCTAAAGCCATCTTGTACATATTAATGTTAATATCTAGAATACATAAAATACAGTACCTGGAACTGAACTCTTGGGCACTGGATCACAGATAATTTAGTACCAATTTTCCTTACAATACTTCGAGATGAACCATATGGCTTTCCTGACCAAAGTACCTGAGGAAGTAGGGAAAAAACAAAAAGTTTAATTACAAGACTTCCAAAACTGCAAAGATTATATATCACTGGGCTAGTAAATGCACAGTATGTTGCCATATTTAATTATGGTACCAAGATATTCTAAATAATATAGGAAATAGCCAGTTTTTCAATTCAAAATGAATGAATATATAACTGGCTATTATTAAACCAACAAAATTTAATGTACAGCATTATATACAAATATCCAAATATAATGTAATTTTTCCATAATACTATATAGCATTTGGAGTAAAACTTTACTTTTTAACATGAGCTACTTTTGCTATTAATAAACTTTCCAAAACAAATTAGTACGAAGTTTAGAATGCGAATTTGTGCCATGCATGCCATTTGCTGTATGAGAGCGGAGAGTGGGGGAGGAGTGAAATCCAGTCGCACTGCTCTTCAAGCATTACATCTTCAATGATTTGATCTTTAATGTGCATAAAGGCATTAAATGAGCTGATGGTAGTCTTAATGAACAGAATTTACCTGATGAAATAATGCACACAGGACATTATGCTATGCTTAAAGCAAAAGTAAAAACCCCTGAAGCAAAAAGCAAACAAAACACACACATATGATGTTAAATCATTACAAATTGTACCTTGAAATTTCTCCCCCAGTATATGATCTTCCCTTAAAGAGAAAAACTATCCGATTTGAGTGCTACACCTGAAAGCCTGGACAGAAGAGGTAAAGAAAGTAGTAGCCATTAAAAGCAATTTTAAAGAAAAGAATGAGAATAACATGAATATTAAATTTGGTCATCAAACTTTAACATCCACCTATATATCCTAAAGTGTAAATAATACCAAATAAACTATATAGATCCTGAACAATGGACATTAGCCCTTAAGGTTACTTCACAGTTATTCTAAAGACTACAATTATCCAAATAAAAACAATAACCAAGTAGTCATAGTAAAGAGTGACTCCAATACCTAACCCAAACTAGGCCTTCAGAATCAGACCTTCAGGCCATTCTAAGAGCAGGCACAACTTACAAAATAAGAATAGAAGCAACTTGATTTCTTAAATTTTTTTTAATTTTTTTATTTATTTGATACAGGGTTTCCCTACGAAATTCACACTCATAGTGAACCTCCTATCTCAGCCTCCCCAACACTGGGATTACAGGAGTGTACCACCATACCCAGTTTTCAGGGCTGACATGGCATGCCCAGGGTTCTGGGGCCCACACAGACAAGATATTCAAGATGAATAGGGAGTTTTGAAAGTAACTCTTGCTTCTTAAAATTTTTTAAAAATTTTATTTATTTATCATTTATTTATTTACTTGTCTCACTATGCAGCTCGGGCTGGCCTTGAACACACTTCATAACCCAGGCTGGTCTCAAACATGCAATGATCCTTCTGCCTCAGCCTCCTGAGTGCTGGGATTACAGACATGCACTACTATGCCCAGCATTATGTTAAATTTTAATAACCAAATCCAATTAGGGATAGTAAATAAATCACAGTGAGGTTTATGAAAGTATGTAAAACATCCATGGCAATCTATTTCAGTTTTTAAATAATTTTTATCATGTATGTTCAAGATTTTACAAGCAGAAATGTTATAATGGCATTTAGCAAGCAGAATTCCACAAAATAGTTCATAACCTACAGAAACTATGATTTTTCCTTTGGAAATATAAATAAAATGGATGGGATAGCTGGTCAGAGTGGCCCATGCCTACAGGCAAGAGGACTGCACATTAGAGGTCAGCGTAATCAACTTGGCCAAGATTCTCAATCAAAATAAAATACAGGAGGGGCTGGGGGATGTAACTCAGAGCTAGAGTATTTGTCTAACACACACAAGTCCCAGTACTATCAAAGAATTAAAAAAAAAAAAAAATGTTGGTACAGGCTGAAAACGTGGCTAAGATAAAAACAAGATGGTGCATGCAGATAATCTCAACACTTTGGAAGGTTGAGGCAGGTAGATAAAAAGTCTGAAGGCTACAGAAATAGCTCAGTGGCATAAGTGCCCACTTGGCAAGCGCAAGGTCCCGAGTTCAATCCCCAGTTAAAAAAAAAAAAAAAAAAAAAAAAAAGTTTGAGTGCTGCCTTCGCAACGTAGTGACTTACTGAGGCACTGTCTCAAAATAAAATAGAAGGGCTGCAAATGTAGCTCAGTGTGAAGGCTTTGAGTTCAGTCCCCAATATACACATATAAAGATATCAACATTAAAATACAAATACTATAACTAGAGATCATGGCTCATGATTGTAATCATGGCTACTCCAAGGTGAGGCAAAGGACTATACATACATACATTCAAGGCCAGCCTTAGACACCTCACAACAACCTATCTCAAAATAAAATTTAAAAGGGATTGGGGATGCAGCTCACTGGGGAGCACCCTTGGGGCTCAATTCCCATTACAAAAATAATAACAATAATAATAATAAAAGGCAAAGTTATTGTTTTGTTTTGATTTGTTTTTGAGACAGGGTCTCACTATGTAGTTTAAGATGGCCTTGAATTCACTATGTAGTCCAAGTTGGTGTTGAACTCATGGTGATCCTCCTGCCTCAGCCTCCCAAGTGCTGGGATTACAGATGTGCACTATCACACCCAGCTAAGGCAAAGTTACTCTTTTTTTTTTTTTTTTTTTGCGGAACTGGGGATTGAACTCAGGCCCTTGCGCTTGCCAGGGAAGTGCTTATTCTACTGAGCCATCTCCCCAGCCCCTAGGCAAAGTTATTCTGAAATTTAAAACAAAACATCATTCATGGCAATGATCATACAATCATTACAGCATACTAAGTAACATAGGGACAGAGGTGGAAAACACACCTGACTAGAGAAAAATGAGAAGCTTCATTGTCCTACAAAATTAATCAACTAATCCCACCCAAGAAACAACATGGGCAAATAATTCTAAAACATAATATTTAAGGAAACAATTTTATACATTTTAATAGTCTTAATCCATAGGGCAATGGGAACTACTCCATTCAGTCTTTTCACTTTTGAATCTTCTATTTAGTCAGAAGTCAGAACTCTCCTATGACTCTATTTGTACATCACAATTTGATAATTACATAGTCTAAAGTCAATCTTCCCTACTCTTCAGGAAACAAAGATCCTGCCTGAAGATAAGAAGTCAAAAAGCTACAAAGAAAATTTTAAAAAGAACTTGCCAGGGTCAGGAACTAAAGTGTTTGCCAGCTGTTAGCATTCTTCACACTGCAGTGACAAGGCTAAGTTTTAACTACTGTCTTTTTATCTGTTTAACATCAATAGGAAACAAAACCAGGGGCTTTCTGTAAGAACAGCAGCTTTTAATCACAAAGAAAAAATAGACTAGGTTTTATTTACAAAGTTAAGGTAAAAAAAGGCAAAAGAACAAGAACAGATTGTGATTTTTTTTCAAGCAGACACAGTTGACTAACAAAATGTTGTTCTTCTGTTACTCGTGAATTGTACAGTACTTAGCACCAAGATACATGAAGCAAGGGTCTGTAAGCTAGTGACTAGAAAAATGAAAAAGAGTCATAACCTTTATTGACTAATAGAAAAAAGTGAGAGGAAAAAACAGCTAACTTTCAGGAACTTTTTTAAAAACTAGGTCTTAACACTTTTTTCTATTCAGCCTTCATAGAGAAGAAATTGTAAATGGCTGTGAAGAAATAGTGAACAGATGGTACCAAAAAGTTACCATCTGTGCACTGGAAAGCTACGTGACCCAAAGTGCATCTCCCACCCTAATTTGTGACTGAACTTTGTCTTATCAGTACTGGTTTGGAGAAGGGTTAGCTTCCTCTAAACTGACATTAATACTTTTTCAGATAGAAGAGAAGGTAGACAGAAAGCTATCATTACTAGGAAATTTGATCTAATTGAAAACAAAATAATTCAATTCCCTTAAGAAATAACTAAAGAGAAAAACTACGCTTTATCTATAAAAGCTGCTTATAAATAATCTAATGAGTCTTTATGTATATATATGTGTGCGTGTCTGTGTCTAGCAGTGACAGCCCATAACATTTAGCAACAATGTTTGAAAGTGATGACAGCAAGGAGGAGGATGACAACAGAAAAGCAATTTATTCTTTTTCAACATCATGAAACACTACTGCAAAAGTTGTATGTGAGGATACAATTTGAAGTTGTCATCTATCTCATCCATAAGTGCACCCAAGTTTTATGTTTTATGTCAAGTTTCATTTGTTATGAACTAAGTATATTATTATTTGAGGAAAAATATTTAGCAGGAAGAACTATAAATCTAATTCTAAATATAATAAATATATTTTTCTTAAGAAACAATGTGATATCCCCGTTCTGAAAAAAAAAAAAAAAAGAAAAAAGAAAAAAAAGAAACAAAGTGATATAATTTACTTCACAAATTCCTAAAAAAACATGCAAATTTATGTGCATACATTACTGTCTTCTGGGATGAAGGGACATTTCCAATAAAGTTTTTCAAAAGTCTATGAGCCAATAAAGTGTAAATTCTTAATCCCAAAGTGTAAAATATTCTTTTTTTTTTTTTTTTTTTTGCACAGAACTGGAGACTGAACTCAGGTCCTTGCACTTGCCAGGGAAGCACCTATTCTACTGAGCCATCTCCCCGGCCCCGTAAAATATTAATTTTTAATAAAATAGGTATGTCAGAAAAAAGATGAAACTCACTAACACTTTCAAAATCTCTAAAGATTAACACCCCTCTTATTTTATCTTCTTTCTTCCTTGGATTTCCTAGCCATATTCACATTACTCCAAATCACAAAAGGAAAAGAAAGGTATAATATTTAAGCATTTCTATATTGCTAATACAAATTAGATACCTGCTGTAACTTCTTTTCTAACATAAAGTACTGAGATTAATAAGAAATACATTACCTTGATGCTATTCTGATTCTGCAACTTAAAAATAACTTTGCTCAGGGACATACATAGTAGTTCAAAAAGCTTCAAGAGTAAGTATGTTTCAACTTGAAACAAATGTTGAGGCAAA